GCGTGTGCGCGCGCGCGTGTGCAAGTGCGCGGCCGGGAGGGGGTGTTCAGGGCTGGGGTTTCAGTTCACAAACACACACCCGCACTCGCACAATCGCAAGAGAAAATGTCACTGAGCCGTCGGCTCTTTAAACAAAATAATAAACTAATACATTAAAAAAAAAAAAACTTGGTGAAACTCATCTCGCTTGGAGGTCAGTCCAAATTGGGGGGGGGCGGCTGCGGGCGTGCGAAGGGGCTTCCTGAGGGGCGTGGAAGCACCGGCGGACCCAGGACACCCCCCCCCACACACACCCCACACTCAGGAATCGCGGTTCCAAGGGAGAGAGGGGAGGAGCGTCCGGGGAGCCTTCACTGCGACGATTTTTGGTAAAGAGGTGAGAAACGGGTCCCCGGGAAGTCCGATTCTCGGCGAGTTTGCGGCGGAAAAGTGAGGGGGGGGGTTCTCCCAAGACGAGCGCACCGACTTTTGGCTAAAGGGGGAGAAAAGGATTCCAGGGGGGCTCTCAAAATCGCTGACGACAAGCCGGTCCCCGGATACCCCAAATCCGGGAAATTGGGGCAAAGGTGAAAACGAATCTTCCAGCCCCCCATTCAGGAGTCTGCGGTTAGGAGAGAAGGGGGCCCCAATTTCAGACATTCGGGGAGCAAAAGAGAAGAGGGGTCCCCAGGAGCCCCCAAGTCAGAGAGTTTAAGGTACGGGTGGGAGATGGTTTCAAGAAGTTGAGAGAAAGCGAGAAAGGGGTGCCGGGGCGCCCTCAACTTAAAGATTCGGGGCATAAAATGAACAGGAGGTTCCCAGAAGCCCCAATTCAGGGAATAAAAGTTTGAGGGGCCCCGGGCGCACCCAATTCGTCGCCTTCGAGAGCAAGAGTTGAGAGTGGGGTCTCGGGCGCGCGCGACTCAGGAAGTTTTCTAATAGAGGCGATGGGCTCCCACTTGCCCCCGAGTTTGGCTAAAAGAAGGGGGGTTCCCGGGCGCCCCCAAACTCGGCCGCGCCGGAGGGACTGGGCTGAGGAGGCGGGTCCCGCGGGCGCGCCGTCCCGGACGTTTGGGGGTGAGCGGCGGGGGCTGCGCCGCCCGCCTGCCGCTCCCCCACCCCAAGCCGGACCCCCGCCGCCCCCCGCACTCCCCGGCCCGGCCGGGCCCCGGACGGTCGAATCGGTCACCTGGAGTTCGGGCTGGGAGTTCGGGCAGCGGCTCCCGCGGCGGCAGCAGCGGCTGCTGCGTGTTGGTCCCCGTTGGTAAGTAACAGTCTCCACGGCTACAGTCTCTATGGCGGCGGCGGTGGCGGCGGCAGCCGCTCCTCCTCCCGCTCCCGCCGCCCGCCAGCCTCGCGCGCCCGCCCGCCCGCCCGCCTGCCCGCCCGCCGCGACGGGGCGGGGCGTTGTTACCAGCAACGGTTACCAGGCTCCACGCCCCACCCCTCAACGGCCCGCCCATGCCCGCCTCCAACGGGCGCGAGAGGGGCGGGGTGTAAGGCCCTACAGTATCCCATTGGCTTCACGCAGTGCCTGTCAAAGGGGGCGTTCCCTGGCGAGGATGAGGGCGAGGCTTGACCAATGGCCGCGGGGGGGGGCGGGGCTTGGCTGGAGGGACGCTCCGCTCGGAGGGTTGGCGAGCGGGAAGCGCGCGCGGCCCCGGTGGGTGGCGCTGCTCCGGGGAGGCTAAGTTTCGGTGACTCTAATGGGGCCTTCGTTTATTCCACAAATGATTACCGTACATGCAAACACAGTCTGAGTCTGGGATCAGCACACTCCGACCTGCGGCCCAAATCCCGCCCGCTGCCTGTTTTACATGGACCACAAGCTGAGAGTTTTAGAATATTTTTTAAGTGGTTTAAAACAATCAAAAGAAGAATTTTGTGACATCTATACGAAACTCTTGTATTACCGAATCCAGTATTTCAGTGTCTTTAAGGGTTGACGCATTGTGGTCGTTGGGCCGAATTATGTCTGCCTGTGTCTGTAAATAAAGTTTTATTGGAACACAGCCAGGCCCATCCTTTAAAAAACTGTGGAAGGCTGTTTTCACGCTACATGAACAAGAGCTGAGTAGTGAAGAGTTTATTCGTTGCACAAAGATGGAATGGCATAAGCAGAGCCTAGAATATTTACTACCCAGCCATTCACAAAATGTTTGCCAACCTTCTTCCAGCTCACCGCCCATCCCTAGATGGTAGTTCAACTACACGTTGCAGAAACAACCCAGGCTCTTTGAGAGCTTTTAGTTTAATGGGGGGACACTGACAATAAACTGAATAAATAAATAAACATATATAGTTATTCAGGGGAAGGGGCCGGAACACTAAGAGAGAAAACTTGTTCTGGGAAGAAACAAGGAAGGCAACTTAAAGGAAGATTGACCTCAGCCCTATTCCTTCCTTCCTTCCTTCCTCCCTCCCTCCCTCCATCCATTCACCCCACAAATTACCATATTAGTGTGCACTGATCAATTTGTTCTTAGGTGCCAGAAACTGATCTAAGCATTTTTTTTTTTTTTAATGCTAACTCCGTTGAATCTCACATTCATATCCTAAGAGCTGGGGTATGCATTTATCCCCATATTACAGATTAGGGAACTGAGGTCTAGAAAGTAGGAGTGAATTTGCCCAGTGCCAAACAGCTTGTAAGGGCTTCAAATCCCAGCAGTCTGGAGCCAAAGCCCATGCATTGACCACTAGATGGGAGGTTTTCCAATATTTTTGAATCACAGCAGGAAATACATCCGACTCAAAGGCCCAGTCCACACAAACACATAATGACTAAAACAAAATTTTCGGGGTGCCTGGGTGGCTCAGTCGGTTAAGTCTCCAGCTTCGGCTCAGGTCATGATCTCATAGTTCATGGGTTCGAGACCCGCGTCAGGCTCTGTGCTGACTGCCAGCTCAGAGCCTGGAGCCTATTTCAGATTCTGTATCTCCCTCTCTCTCTGACCCTCCCCTGCTCACGCTGTCTCTGTCTCTCTGTCTCTCTCTCAGAAATAAATAAAACATTTTTAAAAAATAATAAAATTTTCAAAGCATGATACATGAGGCAATGCTTGATCTTTTTTATTGTATTCATTTTAACAAAAATACTGATGGTGACCTGATGAATTGATTTTGCCAGTTTCTAATGGGTTGTTCTTGCAGATATCTATATGACCGGGTCTTAAGCCTAGGAATCCGTTCCTTTCCTTCAATTATTAATTTATTTAAAATATGTCGTCTGCCTACTATTTGTCAGACACCATTCCGGGTGTTGGGAACACAATTCCCAGGCTTGCAGGAAAAGGGATATGACAGTAACGTGGGGGGTGAGTGGTAGGGCTTATTCTGGAGAGAGCAGCTAGGGATGGCCTCTCAAGGGTGACCAACCATCTTGGATGGTTTGAGATTATGGGGTTTCCAGGGGGCGCCTGGGTGGCTCAATCGGTTGAGCATCTGACTTCAGCTCAGGTCATGATCTCACGGTCCTTGAGTTTGAGCCCCGCATCGGGCTCTGTGCCGACAGCTCAGAGCCTGGAGCCTGCTTCCGATTCTGTCTCCCTCTATCTCTGTCCCTCCCCTCCTCGCACTCCATGTCTCTCTCTGTCAAAAATAAACTTAAAAAATTTTAAAAGTGATTACGGGGTTTCCCAGGATGTGAGACTTTTGGTGCTAAATCAGGGAAGCTCCAGGACCAAGCAGGAAGAGCTGGCCACCCTAGACCTCTCTAAGAGGGTGACATTTGGGCCAATGTTGGAATAATGAGGAAGAAGGGAAGAAAATATCAAGAATTCAAAATCCCTGGTATGGAAACTCGTTTTAAATAAACAACAGGTCACTGGGAATGGCTGGAGCGGAAGGAATGGGGAGGGCATAAGTGTCCAGGGTGGTGAGTCAGGGGATCAAGGGAGTCATTTCACTTAAGGTCAAGTCTGACAGGCCTTATGAAGGGGTTCTCATCAGATTGGGAAGCCACTGGAGGGTTTTAAGCAGGTGGGAGATGTAACCAGATTTGTGATTTTATACTTTTTAAAATTTTTAATTTTTTTTTTTTTTTGAGAGAAAGAGAAAGAGACAGAAAGAGACACACACAGAGAGAGATGCAGAATCCAAAGCAGACTATGCATAATCAGTGCAAAGCCTGACATGGGACTCGAACCCACAGACTGAGATCATGACCTGAGCCAAAGTCGGATGCTTAACCAACTGAGCCACCCCAGCACCCCAGTGATTTGTGATTGTAAAAGCTCACCACATGGGGACCAGATCGAAGGAGACAAGAAAGACAGAGCAAGAGGCCTCGAGAGACTGTCACAGTTTTCCTGAGCTGACAAGTATGGTGGCTTGGATTAGAGACCTGGTAGTGGAGGTGGAGATGAACAGGTGGCTCAGAGGTACATTTTAGAGAAATTCTGATGGACTGGATGTGGGCAGCTGAGCGATAAAGTTTTAGGCCATCATGGGAGGTGCCTTGGAGCCACACTGTACAGCTCATTCTGCTATAACTTTTGTTTTGAAAATGCCCCAACGTGATGCCGTATTTATAGTATTATTTACATATAAATAATACTTAACCACTTAACACATGTAAAACACGGCTATCTCAAAGAAGAAATGAGTAGAAAATGGGAAATACTTTGGAATTAGAAAATGAGAAATTAGAGTAATTAGAAAATACTTTGAGATGAATGAAAATGACATACAACATACCAAAATTTGTGGATTCAGCTGAAGTAGAGGAATTGTCATAACCATAATCATCTATGTTAAAAAAAGAGAAAAAGACTTCAAATCTTCCACCTTAAGATGGCAAGTAAAAGTAAACTAAACCCAAAGCTACAAGAAGGAAGGAAATAATAAAGATTAGAGTGGAAATAAATGCAGTAGAGATTAGACATTCAGAGAATTACAAAGGTCACAAGTTAGTCCCTTTAAACTTGTCAGCAAAGCTGACAAATCTTTAACTAGACAGATCAGGATAAAAAAAAAAGAGAGAGATAACTCAAATTACTCAAATCAGGACTCAGAGGGGACATTACAACAAACTTTTCATAAATAGGAAAGATGCTAAGCTAATGCTATGAACAACTGCATGCCGACAATTAGATACCCCAGATGAAATGGGCAAATTCCTAGAAAGTGACTCAAGAAGAAACAGAAAATCTGAGTGCACCTGTGACTAGGAGAGAAATTGCATTAGTAAACAAAAAACTTCTCACAAAGAAAAGCCTAGGAACAGATGGTGTCTCTGGTGAATTCTACCAAACATTTAAAGAAAAATTAGGGGTGCCTGCGTGGCTCAATTGGTTGAGGATCTGGCTCTTGGTTTCGGCTCAGGCCATGAACTCAAGGTTCATGAGTTTGAGCCCTGCATTGGTCTCCATGCTGATGGTGCAGAGGCTGCTTGGGATTCTCTCTCCCTCTCTCTCTGCCCTGCCCCTGCTCCAGCGCATGCACTCTCTCTCTTACAATAAATGAATAAACTTTAAAAAAATAAAGATTAATGTCATTCCTCCACAGACTATTTATTAAAGACAGAAGAGTAAGGAATACTCTATGAGGCCATTCTAACATTCTTTGAGGCCAGTACTATCCTATCCTGATACCAAAACCAAGACAAAGACACAAAAAGAGCAAACTAGAGACCATTCTCCCTTTTGAGCATAAGTGCAAAAATTCTCAACCAGATACTAGCAAACCGAATCTAGCACTTATAAAAAGATTTACACACCACGGCTAAGTGGAATGTATCCCAGGAATGCAAAGATGGTTGGTTTGACATTTTTAAAAAAAGTTTAATCATTTTTTTAAACGTTTTTTATTTATTTCTAGGAGACAGAGAGAGAGACAGCGTGAGCAGGGGAGGGTCAGAGAGAGAGGGAGTCACAGACTGAAACAGGCTCCAGGCTCTGAGCCGGCAGTCAGCACAGAGCCCGACGCGGGGCTCGAACCCACGAACCGCGAGATCATGACCTAAGCAAAAGTCGGATGCTTAACCGACTAAGCCACCCAGGCGCCCCAAAAGTTTAATCATTTTGATAGTACAAAGGACAAAAACTATATGACCATCTCAACAGAAAAAAAAAAGCATTTGACAAAATCCAACACTCTTCCATGATTTAAATAACAACACACAACAAACTAGTTATAGAGAACTTTCCCAGCCTGATAAAGGCAGCTACAAAAGCATCACAGGCAAAAATAGTTAAAGTGAGAAACTGAGTGTTTTCCCCCTAAGATCAAGAATAAGGCAGGGA